TAATATGCTCCACCTAGCTAGGTAGCTACTTTGTCAATATTGTAGCCATGGAAACTTGCATTGTCTTCTGGATTTATTTATTTAGAGGATGAAGAAAATTAAAACTAGCTAGACGCAGCTAATGGAATAATTAATATATAGATTGGATTTTGGGAAAAAGGCAGTAACTTACCCTAAAAAATACTAAATGACAAATGAGGGTATGTGAATTTAAAAATTACAATTCAAACCCCGGGTACCTTTTTAGAATTTTCAAATCTTATAAAATTACACAAATGCCCTTTACTATTTTTTTACTCTACCTCAACATTTCTAGCTGCTAGAGCTCTGACGCCGGCGACCCTACCGGTGATTGGTCATCGGAGCTCAGGCAACATGTCACTAGAACTCCGGTGACTGATTGTCGGAGCTCTGGTGACTATTTTTTCTTGTGTATTAACTACTCTTTTTTAGCTGTTGACTATATTTGTTTTTAAACTTTGATGACTACTCTTGTTAAGCTACTGATTACTTTAGTATTGTGATTGACTACTTTCATTTTTAAAATTTTGATGACTACTTTTATTTAGCTATTGACTACTCTAATTTCGCTATTGACTACTTTCATTTCAAAAATTCAAAAAATGCATTAAGTGTTGCTGGAGATTTAGTGACTATTTTTTGTTTAGTTATTGACTACTCTTGTGTAGTCAATAACTATATAAAAGTAGTCACTGGAACTTTAAAAACAAAAGTAGTCAATAGTTAAATTTTGAAAACAAAAGTAGTCAATAGTTAAATTTTGAAAACAAAAGTAATCAATAGTTAAACTAGAGTACTCAATAGTTATATAAAAGTAGTCACCGAGAGTAAGGACAATGTTATCTTTTTACAACATTTGAAAATTCCAACATGACACTTGGAGTCTGAATTGAGATTTTGAAATTCACCTACCCTTATGTATCATTTAATATTTTTGAGGGTATTTTATTGTTTTTTTTCCTGGATTTTTGCATTGCACAAGAAAGAACAAGTTGGATTGTTGCTGAAGGAATTTGGACAATGCCGTAATGAATTATGTGGCTTGCTGCTCTAAATTTATGCTAATATATGAGTGGTTCATATTTTTAAATTATAAAAATAATATGCTTAATATATATAGGTTTGTTTATGTGTGCATAATGTTATTTATCATAAATTCTAAAATAATCCTATATAAATGTTGAGACATTCGAATATTGGAGAAACTAACCTCATCAAGAGAATAATATTAAATAATTCTTTTCTCACATTATATTATAAATAAACAGTTTTGAATTTGATCATATCACATTCAAGAAAATAATAATATAAAAATAACATAATGATACGTAGGGTTTATATATATATATATATATATATATATATATATGAGGTGGTGGCAGTATACGTAGAATATAATATAAGAAGTCAACATAAGTGACAAACACAAGATTTTATACCAAGCCGTGGCTATCACATTGGAGGAGGGAGTGGTTTAATATAAGAAGCAAGTGACATCTTCAAACTCTCATGTCTAATAGTACACTTATACCATATTTTTCAAGCAATACTTCTCTATCAATATATATATATATATATATATATATATATTTATGTATCTTCCATATACTTAAATCTGTGACGTTTATTTTCAACCAAAAATATGAAAGGAAAAAAATAGTACTTACAAAAGCATTTATAACTTCGATCATAAAATTTATGTCATAGGTAGATAAATTTTTTTTTTTTGAGCTGAGGGTAGATAATTCTTTTAATTTTTGAAATTTTGCAATAAATCTCTGTAACCTCTAACATTTTTACAAAGGTAAAATTTTTTTTTTCAGTTCTTTAATGTTATATAAAATTTGAATTCAGTCCTTTAATCTTTATAAAGTATGCTGGTAAAAAAAAAATCTTTATAAAGTATCTTTTAAGTTCTTTATTAATGAATTTTATATGATTATTTTTGTATTAATCATTATTATTTTAAGAATTAAAATTTAATATGCCAGCGTTTGAGAATGTTTTATTAAAATTATTTAAAATTTCAATATTATTATTTTCTTATAATGGAATTAATTAACTGTGTTAGGCTTAAAGAATTAAAATAAAAAAAGCAATACAAAATTAACAAAGCAAAATGAAATATTATGTATTTAAATAATTAAATCTGTACTTTTCAGTTTTAGCCTTATAAAATAACTCCTTTGGGTTAATTTATTCATTATGTCACTAATATAATATAAAATTAATAAATCGTCTCCACTTATTAATTTTTTTTTAAGTCTGCCACAGTGCCACGTATCATCATAATTAATTGGAGCAACCTTTATTAAACATAAATGAAGTCCTTTTTCTCTGTCTTTTTGGTGATGTCACCACTAAAATCTTCAACATATTTATTTGTTTTTTGGCCCTATTGATGTTCATTATTGACAACTAGTCACAAGTCAATGAACCACATTGGTTCAATTTCAGGCTAGAGTGTGTCTCATTTGCATGTCAGACCAGGCTGTCCCTTTCGAACAATTTTAAGAGTACACATCTCATATACCGAAGTTAAGTACCTAATTTTTCCAAAGAAAAAAACACTCTCGTAATTACATTTTAAATCATAAATAAATCTATTGGTATCATATAAATGCTGATATTTCGACGTTCCTTGTAAATTACTACTCCCTCCGTTGCTTTTATAAGAGACATTTAATGCTTATGGCATGTTCTTATATATAATAGACACTTAAAAGTTGTCTCTACTTTTTTGTGTTGATTTCCTATTTTATCCATATTTATTGTCTCCAACTCATACTCTCTCTCCTTCCCACTTCTCTTTCTTTTAATAATTTACAATCGTTCTTTCTCATGCTCACTCTCCTTATTAATGAGGACATTTTTGGTAAAAAAGTTATACTTTTTACATATTGATTGTTCTTAACTAATTTTAACTGTTTTTTTTATCAACGTAATTCGGTTATTTGTCTCTTATAATAAGAAACGGAGGGAGTAGTAGTTTCTAATAATAATTAAGAATAGAAATCAGGGATTTTTCCAATTGTCAGGATCACAAGTTCACAGCTTAATTTGGGTGTTCAAATTATAATTGATTTAAGATGCAAATTTATATTGAAAGTTTCCACCTAAAAATGTTAAAAAATCAGAATTTTTTTTATGTTTAATATTGCCTTAAAAGTTTAAAATTGCAGCAGTTTTGCTTCCACCGTTAAAAAACTAATATTGTTTAAATAGTAAGGAATAAAATTGTTACAATTTTAAACTTTTAAAATAATACTAAACGTTAAAAAAACTTTCAAATACGCTTAGCGGTTTTGAGTAAAAATTTTCAGAATAAATATGCACATTAACCTTCTATAATTTAAATCAATTAGCTGCCTTAGATAAATAATTTTTCTCTTTTTTGATTTGATTTGATTTGATCTGCTGTAAATAAGTCAAAAATAGAGTTTCATGTGCGTAAAAGCAATTAAGGTTCTTATAATCAAACTTAACCTGAACAGTTGAACTAATTTTGATTCGTTCAGACAGAGATAAGGCTATACAACCGAAATTCTATTGGTTGATCACGATATATAATAAATAACTTTTTGCCAACTATGACTGATTATTATTATTATTATTATTATTATTATTGTTATTGTTATTGTTATTGTTATATGCAACAGATTTAACGTGTAAGGTTCTTATTGTGGCAGCCAAAATGAAATGTGAAGTGACGTTCACGTGCGATGATTTCACATATTACATAATTGAATTATTATAGATGATTATGTAATCAAATCAGCCCACATGAATCGATTTGGGAAATTTTATCTCACGCAAAGCAATATGAACATCTTGCTTGTGCCTTTAATTCAATTAGCCTTTTTTTTAGGTCACAAGTCCTTTAATTTGCCATGTTCTTTGCCTTGTTTTATGGCGTCTTAATCAATACTTTTTTCTTTCTTTCATTTTTTTTGCCGAATTAATTTCCGTGGATTCACATTGTAATGATTTGACATTCCTAATCCTTAACCAATGTTGTTTAAGGAGGTTAGGACATTCATATCTCTCTTCTTATAACAACATTATAATATGTGTGTGTGTAAGTTGCAACAAAAATAATGTCCTTCACCTTTGGGACAATCTTCATGAATTTCCGTGGGGTTGACAAAAATTTGTAAGTGGGTTCATGTGATTGCGTTGGAGACTTCTTTTTTTTTTGTTGAATTTTTTATATTAATTTTTGTATAAAAATTTCTTTTACAAATTCATAATTTTAGCCAAACTAAAATGTTTGTTTAAGATTAAACAAATTAGTGATTTCCATATAATTTAGATATTTATGATGAAGATGATTTATTATGTGAAAAATTTTACAAAAAATCATAAATCATTTTATAGTAGTTGGTTACTTTACCAATACCATTATAAAAATAATTCATTATTTAATTTAACAGTAATTTTCAAATTTTATGACGTCACATATATTAATTATATCTTCATTCATAAAATTCATCAATTTATTGAACAAATGCCTGAATGATTGATTTAAGGAGGGTAGTGTCTTCTTGATTGTTATTCTAGCCACACGTAATCTGACCAGTGACCACTAACCTTCTTGACCTTATAATCTCCATAATTAATTAATAACATCCTAATTTGCAAAGTGATAAACACTTGTGAACCAAATCTAACATTAAAAAACACAAAAATAAAAAGGAATATAATCAAAGTATACATCAGCCTCTCTGTGTGTGTGTGACTAAACTGTCAAATGATATACTGTATATTTCGTGATCGCACAGTGTCCAAAATACTAGTTCTATAAATAGATCACCATTTCTGATCATCTTTATAGCCATAGAAACAAACACAACTCTCTCCCTCTCTTGTTCTTCACAATTATATATATATTAACTCTATATTATTATTATTATTATTATTATCTCTCTCTCTCGAAAATGAAGTTTATCAATCTAACCACTTTTAGATTGGTATTTTTGATGGCTCTTTGTGTGTGGTGTTCAAGCTTTGGAGCTTGTTATGGCAGACAAGGAAGGTCATATTGGAGAAAACTCAAAGCTTCCTCTGATTCTAATACCACTTTTAATGTGTTAGATTATGGTGCTAAAGGTGATGGAAAAGCAGATGATACTAAGGTTAGGATTTCTTTTTTTTTTTTTAATTTAATATAATTTATTTTTGTTATTTTATTCTTATTCTCTCTCAAATATAGTACAATTACTTTTAAGTTTTTTTTAAAATTGACATAGAATCATTGGACTATTATAAAAGAGTTCATAATTCATATGCTTACAAAAGTACCATAGAAGTACAAAATTTGTGGCAAAATTATTATACTACAAACGTAAATTTACAGCATCATATATCTTATTTTAATTCTAAAACTCTCCTGAGGGAAGTTCACGAGACAGAATAATATTAGGCATATATAAGCATGATATGTACCTGTAATTAAAATTTTACAAACAAAAGTCAAATGTTTTTTTCCAACATGTCAATTAGTTATCTCTATTTTACCTCATTAAATACTTGAAATTAAAGAATCTGAATGGGAGTGAGAGTAATGATTAGAGTTCAAATATAATAGTATAAACGGAAAGTCAAAGACTGCTTCTTCTAATCTTATTAAATTGGCTAACCAAACATATATTTTTATTTCACACTTGATGAAGCCACATATATACAGTCACGTTGATATGTATCCTCCATTTTTTTTTCCCGGGAATATATTATTAGCCACTTGGTCCCACAGGGATATATATATCTTTCTTGGTTAATACAAATTTTAGTTTTTCAAATTTACCTTCATTTTGATTTTAGTTTCTTAAGTTTTAAACTATAAGTTTTAGTTTTTCAAATTTCTTTTAATTCAAAATATTGGTTTCTATAATTTGGTTTTTGTAATCTAATAAAAATTTAGATCATTTTATCCCTTAAGGAACCAAAATTTATGAGTTGATGTAGAAACTAATGTGGGTGCACCTTAGATATATTATTAACGTATCTTAAAAAGTACAAAGAGATTGAATATATAGAGAAGAAAGGTAGGCAGTAACTAAAATATTAAATCCATACCTAATATCTAGATCTATCTTATCATATCTAATCTAAGATCTTAAATATATAAGATATTTACAAAATAAAGTTTTTACTGATTGCTAACAGGCCTAATTTGGGCCAGAGCCCATAACTTAACAGTTAAATTTACGGGACTAAACCAAAATAAAAACTAACTTAAGAAACCAAATATTATATTAATTCTATCCTTGTTTTCAAATTGTTGGTCTATGCCTAACATGGGGTTTTAATTATCACTTTTAATTAAGGACATGTAACTTTTTGCCGGAATTATCCCCTTTTTCAAACTTTGATAATATTTTTAAAATTTCATTTATACTACTAATTATACTTTTTTTTTTTTAAAAGGCATTTCAACAAGCTTGGGAAGCAGCTTGCAAGGTGGAGGCATCATCGTTTTTGGTTCCACAGGGGTCTGTGTTTCTGGTGAAGATAATCTCCTTCCAAGGAAGTGCCTGTCAGCCTAACATCATTTTTCAGGTTTTTACATTGTTTTCTCTATTCTATTCATATTTAATTAATTAATCCCTTTTGTCAAAAATATTAATTGACAAGCTAGCTCAAATAATTATTAATTAATTAAATGCATGCACAGTTGGATGGAAAAATCATAGCACCAACAAGCCCTTCAGCTTGGGGTTCAGGAATATTGCAGTGGCTTGAGTTCAAAGATCTTAATAAGTTCACAATCAAAGGCAAAGGAGTAATTGATGGCCAAGGCTCTGTCTGGTGGAACGTTGACTCAGGATTGCCCAGCACAAAACCAACGGTAAAAAATGAATTATAATCTTGTGAATAGTGTAGTTTTATTTCTAAATTTTAATACACACACACACACACTCCCTTTGGTCCTATTATAGGGCATGTCCAATCATCTTATTATCAGAAGGGTAGTTAAGTCATTAAATTTATCTTCACAAATTTTTTTTTTAAATTTATCCATATTTAAAATCATAAATTACATCTTGAAAAGTGAAAAAGAAAAATTTATTAAACTTTTGAACTGGGGTACCCTTGAAAAAATATAATTCGTACCTTATTTGGTGACTTATATAAGAACTATTCAATTTTTCTTAAAAAAGTGTCTTATAATATCGGGCCAGAGTACTAAATATTGATATACTAATATTGGTGACCTCATGTTTGTTTGTTTATGTATGTAGGCACTAAGGTTCTATGGAAGCAATGGTGTAACAGTGACCGGCATAACAATTCAGCAGAGTCAACAGACACATCTCAAGTTTGATTCATGCACTAATGTTCAAGTCTATGAATTTACCACTTCTTCACCTGGAGATAGCCCTAACACTGATGGCATTCATCTTCAGAACTCTCAAGAAGTAGTTATCTATAGCAGTACTCTTGCTTGCGGTATGATTTTCAAAACCTTAAAATAATAAAACCAATATATAATAAAGGATTAAGGGTCATTTTTTCTCTAAAAGTATTCGCAATAAAGTTGTGACTATTCATCAGAAGTCTTTTTTGACTCAATGTCTCCATGAAAGTGTTAAAAAAGGAGCAATGTCATGTAAGCTTTTTTTCAATGAAAATTGCAACACTGTTCCTTTTTCTAACATCTAGGATGACATTGAGTGAAAAAAATAAAACTTTTACATACTATATATAGCTTTTGCGTGAATATTTTTCAGGCAAAAATGACCCTTAACCCTATTTTGAACAATGAAGCACGAAAGAATCATCATGAGATTATCAAACTAATAACGTTGGTGTATTTAACGCAGGAGATGATTGTGTGTCTATACAAACTGGATGTTCCAATGTATACATACACGACCTTAATTGCGGACCTGGCCATGGGATTAGTATTGGAAGTTTGGGGAAAGACAACACAAAAGCCTGCGTTTCTAATGTCACCGTCAAAGACGTTATACTCCAAAACACGTTAACTGGTGTCAGAATCAAGACCTGGCAAGGAGGCTCAGGCTCAGTTCACGACATTAAATTCTCAGACATCCAAGTCTCAGAAGTTGAAACCCCAATAATGATCGATCAGTATTACTGTGACAAGAGCAAGTGCGCGAATGAATCATCGGCCGTGGCTGTGTCTGGTGTTGACTATGTTAACATCAAAGGGACATATTCTAAGGAAGCTGTAAGGTTCGCATGTAGCGATGCTGTTCCATGTACTGGTTTAACGTTGGACACCGTACAGTTACAACCTCAGTCTGCTAAACAAAGTTCTTCAAGCTCAGATAATAATGGGGTTTCATGTTGGAAGGCATATGGAGAGTTGAAGACTAAGACCGTTCCTCCATTAGATGATTGTCTCCAATCTGGCAACCCGTCGTCTGGCGTCAATTCTAATAAAGATTCTTGCTGAATTCGTCGTCACTATTTATTAATTTCCTAAAAATATGTAGAGTGAAGTTTTATACTTTATATATATAGTTGTTAATGTTAATTTTTAGAATTATACTGGGATTGCAATAGTGTGAAATATATATGTTATGCTCATATTTTCGATGAAGGATGTTTAATTAAATAGAACCATATGTAAAAGGAAAATTAGCCTTTAGTTTCTGTTATTCCTCTTGTTGTCTTGTAAGATTCATCGATCTGTCGTATATGTATGGCCTGATCATATGGGAAATCTGAACTGTGGACAGTCTTTTGTGTATGAATTGATTCATCTGCTGCATTTTTTGTGTAATATTCGTCTTGACACATAATCTTGATCTCCATTTTTCTCTCACTTCACTTGGTGGTATATATACATCCAACTTATATACTATATTCAATACTTAATACTCTTCTGATTCTTAATATAAGACTTATTTAACTAATTTAATTAAATTAAGAAAGTTATGTAAGTTAGTTAATTAAAAGAAATAGGACATATTTTTTCTAAAGCATCATAATTATCTTTCTTAATATCCCTCCTCCCTCTTCTACTTAATTGTGGTTGAAGGAGTATCTATATGGGTAATTTAGGAAAAACTGATAAATATAAAAAATAGGTCTTATATTTATGACTAAAATTAACTCAACAATTAGATCCTATATTAAAAATCGAAGGAGCATAAGATTTAGTTTGTAGTTTAAATTGAACTACAAATTATATCTTATATTAAAGAATAGACGTAATATTTTCAATTTATCTTCTAATTATTAATAGTACGATTTTGATATATTGCCTAATACTTAGGTGGTCAATAAAAATTTTTTAAAAAAGATTATCTCTATATTTGATTTTCCATATGGGAAATTTGTTCCACAAAAATACTTTACGTGGATCTAGAACCCAAATACCTCTAAGGCTCTAGCTGGGGGGCAAAAAACCTAAAGCCAACAGGACCCTCAATGACACAAAAACAAATAAAACGTTTTTCCATATAAATTCACTAAAAAAAAGGACCTTTGCCATATAATGATATAATTGGGAACAATTTATTACTACTTGTAATTGAACATTTAATTTAGTTATAAATATAAAACTTTAATTTATTTTGTTTCTCATCTTTTTCCAAAATATTCCTATTGATTCCAAGTGATTCTCACTAAAGAACAATTCTAATCATCCAATATATATGATTGAAGAGAATAATTTAAATAGGTCAACTAATATTTGTGACAAATAATTAATTTAACTAATTTTTTTAATATATTCAAATTAGTTATCTTGCTTTTATATTAAAGACTTGAAGTGGTATTTTGTAGGCCTACCCTAACTTGAATGCACGTGTAGATATATAATGTTGCCCATGGGGAAGCTAAGGATAATTTGCTGAGCCGTTGGTGTCACAGAAAGTAATGGAGATTTTACTCAAAACTCTTGCACTCTTCAGAAGAAGCTCTATGAAACTCAACTTCGAATCCTTTGAACTCCTTCGCATGGAGTTCCTTCATTGTAGTTACAAAGGTTCCTGGATCATTGAACGATAGCTATGATATAAAGACTCCTTGTTATAACAATTCTTTAAGGACTTCACATCTAGAAAGAAGCATAAACGCAGATTTAAAATTTATAAAATAAAGATTTTCCAAATGCAAGACTTTGAGGGAAGGCAAATTGACCCAAGAAAGGTTATTATCTACTAATCCTCCATGCAACTTCAAAAACCTAATGCCGTTGCAATTGAAAATACTTGAAGGCAACCCCATCATGCACCAAGCTGGAAACCATAGCTCGAGATGCCCAGCTTTATGACATACCAGTATTTCAATCCATAACTCAAACGTCCTGGGTTCAATTAGATGAGCGTATTGAGAGGATTTGAAGCTAAACATTGTGATGGACTTGGAATATAATCGCCTGGGAAAAGGAATTCATCTTCAAAGTGGACGAAGGAATTAAAAGAAGAAAAGCTTTGGTCTTCAAGTCAAAAGTGGGCACAGAGAGCCAAACTGAGGTCCATCAAGAGGCTTATGGAAACGGCTTGTTTAGTTGAAATAAAAGAGAGTGAAGTGACGAAACTGTATATAGAAGCAGCAAATTGTGAGTAGGTAGAAGAGGCAATGGACATACCTATCGCTAAACGGCTTGGACTTTGGATTTGTGGCATATATGTTTCCGCCTATGTAAAATATCTAGATAAGGAGATTGAGTTTAATGACTCTAATGTAATTTTTCAAAAAGGACTATACTTACATTAAGCTGTTTATATCAATTATATCAAGTTCTTTAATTACATATTATTTTTGAAATATTAGCATTTAATAGTATTTAATTATAATCCATATGAAACAAAAAAAGACATAGTTATGTGTGATTGGAGAACTTGACATAATGGATATAAGTAACTTGACCTAAGTTTTTTCTTTTTGAAAAATATTTCTTGAATTTCAAATATTTAGAGTTTTTCTAAAATTATCAGAGAGATATCTTCATATCTTTTACATTTTGACCATTATATTATAAATTAATTTAGTTGACCCAAATTAAGGAAAATTAATTTTTATAACCAAATAATGCACAAAAAATTTATTTTCATTGTAATTTATTTGCTAACATGCTGGCAAAACAATATTTGTTGACATTCGTTTAAATTTATTTGTTGCCATTCATATGATAAAACTTGATGTACATTTTGCATGTTTCTTCTGACTATAATCCACCTCAATAATGCAATTGTGGTTAGAATGTTGTTTTATTCTACTTTCTTATATAAACCTTAAACAATGATACTGATATTAGTGAAATCAATCTTTCTGGCATGCAATATCTGGTGATGGACCTCTCCAATATACATTCATCTTATTTTCAAAATTACATGTTTTGCGTGCGGATATACTTTGAGGGCTAAAGAGTTGAAGAGCGATTGAGGATGTAGGAGAGACAAACAAGAAATAGACACAGTCAGTGAAAGAAACTGAAACGTGATAATGTCATTGACAATCAATTTTTTAATTTTACTTATGCGTATAGAAATAAAGTAATCCATGATGATAGTATGGAATTCCCATGTTGTTATGCAACTATTCAATTGGGATGAAATAAAAAGAAGACATTGTTAGGGCATGAAGAAAGAAATCATAATGGAAAGAGAATGGTGATAGTTTGATACCACATCACATGGTAAACAGAGTAGCTGGAATGAGAAACGTGATTGTATTCATTGTATCAAGTATACATATAGTGTGCATATGGTGATTTAGATGAGTTGTACTTTGAATAATCACTACTGAACCCAACTAATAAATTAGTTATAACATTATCTTTATATTACAACATCTCCTCAAGCCGGAGAATGTATATCAATAATTTTTAGTTTGCAGATATAGCAAATGAGAAAGAGTCAATTGAGGGCTTTTGTGATGAAGAGCCCATTTCAAGTCTTTCCATGCACAATATGAAAAGCAATTCCAACATGTGTTTATAAAATGTTGGATTTGTAACCATATGCTTTGATCGGCAAAACCAATTTTGTTCTTGAATTCAAGGGTCATTAACATCGCATGAGTTCATGAATGATAGCTAGGACTTGTTAGGGCTTGAGAAACAAGAACGGTACTAAGATTCTCACTAAGATGAACATAATAGGGTAGGATTGATTATGTAACGGTTCATCCAATGAAACAAAACAAAAGAGGATGTTGTCATTAAGGCATGACGAATAGAATCACAATGTAGAGAGAATGATGGTGATAATATCATATCACATGGTAACACAATAATTGAAATGTGAAACGTGATTGTATTCATTGTATCTCAAATGTGTTTATATATTTAGTATGTACGAGCTCATGAGTAATAGTTAAGACTTGTTAGGGCTCAAGAAACAAAAATGGAACCAAGATTCTCATTAGGATGCACATAACGAGAGTTGGATTGATTATATAACTATCCATCCAAGGAGGACGAAACAAAAGAGGATGTTCTCGTCAAGGCATGAAGAATGAACTGGAAATGGAGAGATAATGATAATGCTCTGATACCATATCACGTGGTGACATAATAATTGGAATGCGAAACTTAATTGTGTTCATTTTATCTCAAGTGTATGTAAACATATAGCGTGTACATGGTAATTTATAGAATAAATTAGTTATAACATTATCTCTATTTGTTTTTTTTTTTTACAAGTAGAGGGCTAAAGCCCAAAAAAATTAAAGACTAGACTAAAAAGGGATTAAATCCCAAACTATCTTTGCTACTCATAGTCCTTAAATGAGCAGGTACAAGCATGGAGAATCGCAGAATAAGATAGACCTTCTTTAGCTAAAGCATCAGCTAAAGTGTTTTGCTCCTGAGGAATGTAAGTGAGAATGATATCCCATGTATAGTCTATCATTTTTGGAATTTGTAAATAGATAAAGTTGCTAGTGTCACTAGCTTTCCTTTAACAAACCATATCCACCAAGATTTGACTCAGATTCAATGATAATTTTCTTCAAACCAAGCTCCCAAACAATTTATTCTAATTATAATATTAGTTATATCTGTATATTTGAACTGTGATGTAGTGCTTCTTTATGGATGTCATCTTCTTAAAATATCACTTTTGAAGTTTGGATATAAATAATTACAATTTGATATACCTTGTGGGAAAGTTCAATTATTTGGTCACAACCAATCTTCCACCTTCACTAGTATACCATAGGTAAATTATTTCTATCAAGTGTTTTATACAAATTTTTAGCTAGTGTTTATCTGTTCTCATGCAGGCTACATGGTCATCTAGTGCCATGCATGTTATATAGTTCGGTAATGATAATATACTAGCATTTTGCAATTTAACCCACCTATAATGTTACACTAATGTCTAACTAGGATAATGAATTGTCTTGTGATTAGTCTAGTAATGTTTCTTATATGAGAAGACAAATGTCAGAGTGCTATGGTGTAGTGGGTGAAGACAATGACGGTATCAGATATGTGATGTGAGGATGTGAAGGAAAGGAGAGAACACTGCATAAGCAAAGTGTAGCGAAAAAAATAAATGAGAGAAGCAAAAATAGAGAAAGCTTTCGAGCTCCATGAATAAGAGTTAGGAACTGAGTTTCATCACCCATGAAAGTGGTCTAATTCCATGGATAATGGTTAGAATTAAGCTCCATAGTTTTTGATGAAACTAAGTTCCATGAGAAATCCACTCCTAAGACAATAAATAAATATAACCAAACAAGATATAAGTGAATTATTGTCACCTCGCTCCTCTCCTTTGCCATCAATGAGAGGATTTCATTAAAAATCCCTTTCCTCCCCTCCAATAAATATGTAAATACAGTATTTAACTTGAGCATAAGGGATAAATATGCAAATTGTAAAATAATCTTCAGTTAAAAGTGCCCAATAGAGCCTATTCCTCATATTGGCCTTTTATCTGGAGGTAATATATATGTATGTGCATCGATGCCCATAATCTTCTGAGTAATATGGACTCTTATTGATAGGCCCACACACAACATTCACAACACTTCAAAATAGTAGAATTGCTAACCTTTCGTACATATTTGTTGTGGGTGAACGGAACTTCACATGCCTTTCCAAGCAACTTATCCTACTCAACAACATTCGTCTCTTTAATTCATTTTGCTACTAGAAAGATAAGCAAATATCATCGTTAAAATCAACCAGTCTCCTTTTGGATAACGGATTTACCTCTGCTCAAATTGAGATTAGTTGCTACTTATATGGATTGAAACAAGGACGAATGCAACTGACTTGAAAATTGGAAGATAGAAATTAACAAACAAGTAATGAATGGATCACAATTCAAATTCAAATTGAAGAATAAACCCCACCAGCTTCACATGACCACTTCATGCGCGCAAATTCCCAGATTCACTCAGATTTTGAAGTTAAGAAGTCCTGAAACATGTTTACACAGACAGATATTAATGATTATGAAGATGAACTATTGCTCAAAATGTCTATATAATTACAGATTTACAGTAGGGAAGGTGTTCAAAACGCTTCCGTTGGCCAAAATAAGCACTCATTAATTAGCTTGTTCTTGTCAATTCAAAACAAGATTAGTACCACCTAATCTTAAAAGTAGTAATTGAAGTCCTTATCTGACCGTAATTTGCTCCTAACGCTTTGGAATAGACTTGTGGCAGGAACATCAACAAAAGCCCTGCAATTCTGGGAACATTTGGGGTATGACGACAATAGTTGGAGCAATTCCAGGCTCTTTGCCTCTCGGCATGGATGATAAACATCAACAATCCAAATGATGATAGACCTCAAAACTTCTGCGTACTTCATTATAAATTTCACAATTCCAAACTCAATCTGCAAGCACTCAAAGGCACCAAGCGCGAACGTCTTTAGGTTTGATAACACACATGGAGGAATATCATCATCATCAGGATCAGGATTTGATTCCACCAACCAAGTCGACTCTCCATCAAGAGCCTAGACACACAAGTGTTTTTTGTAACATAGAAAAACCAGATAGCAGAATAAAAAGTAAAAACAGATTCTATTTTAAATTTTTCAAACCTCACGAATTATAAGAGTTTCAAGCTTGGGGAAACTTTAGAGACAGCTGACCATACTACTCAACTGATTCTGATCTAAACAACCTTCCAAGTGGGTCAAGTTGGAAAATGTTGGAATATCACAATAACTAGGAACAAAGTCACGCTGCATAAGCAAAGACCAGACCAAACTAATTATAAAATTTCTTTATTTATTATATCACTTAGAAACCAAGGAAAAATTACCTATTCATGCCTCCTTTAAGCTTAGGAATGTAACATTAGAAAAAGCTTTCAGTGGAGCTAGATCTACCGAAACCTCCGCAATAACCAAATGATGAAGCATTCCACTATCCAGCTTCATAGCGTCATAATCATCAAACTCCACAGACAGTAGCAGTAATTCTTGAAGATGAACACATTTAAAAAGAAGCATTTCTAAATTTTCAGCTTTCAGGAACTGAACATTCATCAAATGCAAGGTCTTAAGAGAAGGCAAATGAACAGTAGAAAGATTACTCAAATTTACCCCAACCAACTTTAGGATCCTAATGGTATTGCTTCTAAAAACAGAGGGTAACGACAACCCAACTAGAGAATCATAACAAGGTGCCAAACATAGATTCAGATACTCAAGTTTGCTATCGAGCACTTTGTTAACCCAAGCATCACACCGAGTAGGGTACGCACCAAAATCCTCACACTAGAGAGAAAACATTCTGAGAGATTTGGGATCAACTAAGTTCAAGGTAGCGTTGATAAACTGAAGGAAGGATTTATAAATATGGAAATTATCGTGAAACTCAAGCTTGGGAATGGAGTGCCAAAGAGATCTCCACCTCTTTGACAAGAGGGATGTGGCAACAACATCATTGGTTTCAAGAGAATTAGAAGAGAGAATATGTAGAAGCAGTGAGTCTGGTAAGTTGCTAATCCTATTGCTCATTGTTTCTTCGCCTCCTCTTTGTTTTTGGAACCAAGGGTTGAAGAAGTGAAAGGATTTAAGTGAAGTCTCGCTTTGTACTAAGAAGAAGAAGAATAATGATCAAACCTGGGCTGTGTTTTTGGTTTTCAAAACTCAGAGATGCCGAATTAAAAATAAGAAAGATGAGTCCAAAAGAGAAAGATCTGATGATGATGATGATGATGGATTCAGCTTCTCCCCTCTGCTATTCTCTCCTCTGCCAGTGCGCTACCCAGAGACGTGCGCAGTGCAAGAAAGGGCTAACTGACTGAACAAAGTTTTTAGGGGACCGGTTTCTCTCCACTTCCTTCCCGTTCGCTTCCAGTTCACTACCTTCCACGACGTCGTTTTACACTAGAAATCTTAACCGTCTATTTCCTCACTCCATCTCAGTCGTTCAGTGGGTTTAATGTTTAATATCACCAGCTTCCGTTTCTCTTCCATGAGTAGCGCGGGAAAGTCGAAGCTATTGGGGGGAAAGGTTTCGGCGCAGAGTTCTGGCAAGGAATGGATGATGAATATTAAAAATTGGTGAGTAAACAATTTTTACAAAATACCAACAGTTGATTTCAGTTTCTGCAACTCTTTCTTGAGCTCCATTACCTTGCATCTGACGCCATGGATCATGAAAGGAGCAGAGCATACTGGTGGGAAAATGAACCAATTTACATTATGTCTATTAATAAATTATTTCTGATTTCATTTATGTTTTTGTGAGGCAGCATGTATATATTCACGCACCAATGTTCTATGGATCATGAGGCAGCATGTGTATGTGGTCTTTATATATTCACGCATATTGTTTATTTCAACAGGGATTTCATTCACTCCTTGCAAATGTATAAACATGTTGTTTATTTTATTCTAGCTATTTGCAGGAAAATTCATTTGTTATTAAAATGTAATAAATAAAATAATTTTGTAGATGGAAGTGAAATAAAGTTTAGATAATACTTAAGGAAAAAATCATTTCTGACCACCTCATGTATTATTAAATTTTGACAATAGAAGTGTGGTAAATAGCCAATTATTTTACAAATCAATTTATACTGGGTATATACGTTGCAATTTTGCAGGAACCTTATACCATGACTACAAATTTGATTCCTAGACTTAATCTTGAATTTGATGATATAAAAGAATCATGGGAATTTTGGAAAGCATATGGGAGAAGAACTGGCTTTGGTGTTCGAAAGCAGAAGTTTAACAAAACTAAAAATGATAAGTCAATATATTCTTCTTATCTATATGTTTGTAATAAAGAAGGGGTCAGAAAACCAGATAAACGAGATGTGCGAACTAGGAAGCCCAGAGATGAGACAAGAACAGGATGCGAAGCTAGAATGAAAGTTAAGCTGGTAGATGGAAAATACAAAATTATTGAAGTTGTTCTAGATCATAATCATCCTTTTCAGCCCCCCGAAGCTGTTCATCTATTTGCATCACATCGAGGGATAACACCGGCTCAACAACATGAATTCGAAACTGCTGAAAAAGCTGGGATTAATCAAAAATCGGCATTCAATTTACAAAGCCAGTATGCAGGAGGTCGAGATAATTTGGGATATACAAGAGATGATGTTAAACATTATCTTAACTCAAGAAGGCAACGAGCTATGAAATATGGTGATGCTGGATGTATATTTCGTTATTTTGAGCAACAATTGGCAGAAAATCCATCCTTTTTCCATGCTTACCAAATGGACTCAGAGGAGCGAGTCACAAATGTGTTTTAGGCCGATGCACGCATGTTGATTGACTATGCTTGCTTTGGAGAAGTAATTTCACTTGATACAACTTATTGCACGAATAGTAATCACAGACCTCTTGCAATTTTCTCTGGCTTTAACCATTACAAAGCAGGGGTGATTTTTGGAGTGGCATTGTTATATGATGAGACCATCGAGACATTTAAATGGCTCTTTGAGACTTTTCTATGTGCACATAAGAATTTAAAGCCTTTAACAGTTTTCACTGACCAAGATGCTGCCATGGCACGAGCATTACAAGAAGTGATGCCAGATGTAAAGCATGCTTTGTGCACGTGGCATATTTCAAGAAATGCAATGAAGCATCTTCCAAATTCAATGGTTAGTGATTTCAACAAGTGCATGTATCATTGTTGGGATGAAATAGAATTTGAAGAAGCTTGGCAAATATTATTATCAAAAGAAAGTATGACAGAAAACTCATGGTTGATGTCTATGTACCAGATAAAAGAGAAATGGGCAGCATGTTATATGAAGAACATAAAGACACTTGGTATGAGAAGCACACAAATTAGTGAAAGTGTCAATGCATCTGTTAAAAAATGTACCAATGTTCTATTGGATATCAATCGATTCTTGCATCAATTTGAACAAGTTTTAGAGGAGAAACGCTACAATGAATTGAAAAGTGATTTTGAGGCACGTGACAAGGTGCCAAGATTGATATTGCAGAGTTCATGCATGCTTCATCAACTTTCTGATGTCTATACTCGACCTATTTTTGACTTGTTCCAGCACCAATATGATCAACGTGAAGCCACATGTATAAAAGAGAGAAAAGAAAGAAAGAAAAATGAAGATGAGGAAGACAGTGTCATCGTGTTTGATTATGTTATCACCATGTATGATAAGAAGAGGGAGTTTAATTTAACATTTGATCCTTCAACAGAGACGATCAGCTGTAGTTGCAAAAAGTTTGAAAGAGTGGGCATATTATGTTGTCACGCATTGAGGGTATTGAATGAACGTGATGTCAAATTACTCCCTCAAAAATATATTATAAAGAGGTGGACAAGAGAACCACGATGTGGTGCAGTGTATGATATTAAGGGAAATCAGATTGAAGTTGATCCTAAAATGCAAAGATCAAATCGATATAGACAATTATGCCCCTTGCTTGTTAAGTTAGCAAGTGATGCGTCAGAAAGTCCAGAGGCATTCTCTCTTGTCCATGAAGCTGTGTTGGAACTTAGTAAGAAAGTAACTGAGCTGCATATAAAATATCTTTCAGATGGCAACAATAGTAGCAAGGATCATGTGGAGAATCATGATGGTGATAATGATTGTAGAAAAGTTGTTGGGTTTAAAAAGAGATACGGTAAAAAGACAAGTAAACGGATAAAGAGCTGTGTTGAAACTCGTCCAAAGAAACGAAGAACCTCTAAGAAACCTCTTCAAGCTTCGCATTTAGTGAAAACTTCGCAGGTATATTTATGGTCAATTTAATTCTTGATCGATTTAATTTCATATAGAGGCTTCTTATATGTTTATTGTTTCTTTTTGAATATGTTTTAGGGACAAGATAGTCAACTTCAAAAATCTAGCTCATCAACTCAAGTACAACATGATCATATGATGTTGGATAACTCTCAGCCAAGTCAAATGACTTTCACAGATTTGTTGACGGTATGTCATATAATGTTGGACAACATAATCAAACTAGTTTCTTTATCTAAGACATGTTAATTGAGACATTCTTCTTATTTCTTGACTGTAGGCATCACTTGACTGCGACATGACTTCCTTTGAAGCATTGGATTTTAGCCAAACATATAATGATGGTAACCATAAAGAATAATGATAATTGAAGGGAAAAATTAGTCACTTTTATTGAAATTTGAATTTTTTACACAGCATTGTCTCATCTCAAGATAATTGACAATTTGAAGCCTCTTGCTACATATTGATTAACAATACAAATTTTGACTATGTTACAAATACAGGTTCAATGATTGACTTAGATCCTCCTGCATGAAGTCTCCATTTCAGCTCTTTTTGTCTAGCTCATTTATACAGCATCTAGCTTCTTATGGGCTGCTCTCTTTTTTGGTCAAGCAAGCTTATCCTTTTATATTTCTGGGCTACTCTCTTTTTGGGTCAAGAAAGCTCCTCCTTTCATATTTCCGGGCTGCCCTCTTTTTTGTTCAAGCAAGCTCGTTCTTCCAGCATTTTCATGTCTTCTTAACTCATGTAATTTGAGTAGGCTTTATTTTGTGATGAAGATTGCTCATCATTTGTGTAATCTGTCATGAAACAATCATAGATGTTACTTGGTATGTAACAATATTTCTCATAGCATTTTAAACTACTGAGAAGTATAGCATTTGAATAGCAAGATTGATGACTGATTATGATGTTCAGAAATAACAGTCCTCACAAAACATTAGTTATACTGATCTATAAGCATCAAACACAAAGACAATTTCATCAACTAAAATTGTGCAAGTATGCTGCTAAGACATGATATTGCAAATAAAAATTGGTGTGTGTCGCAGGTGCATATTGTTGAATGGTTGTATCCACAAGACCCATTCCAAATCCAATATTTGATATGTGACCACCTCCTGAACAAATAGCTTTAGCATGAGCCTCCATCAATGGCTTCTCCCAAGCCATCATGACAGCCTTGCTATTAGAGTTCATCAGCTTATTGTCTACATCTAAAGCTGGAGATATATTTGGGGCATAGGAGGGGTTCTCTTCATAGCAACAGTTTGAGCTGGAGGTAACCTCAGAATTCTGCAGGGTCTCCAGGAACAATTCAGGGTCATAAAGCTCGAAAATTGGAGCACTAATTGGGCTTGAGATTTCATCCTGCACCAAATGATTTAAAAGCATTGTGAACAACATGGCTTCCAAAATCTACCAAACATATAACTCAGGATAGTTTTCAGGGTAGACCCTATTTATAACAAGCTTGAAGAAGCGTGATTCTCTATAATTTTTTTCATTGTAGACCTGAATCCAATTCCTTTACTTGTTGATAGACATGAGCCTGATTTGGTCGTTTAAAACAGAAAAGAGGGCTCATGGTTTGAACACTGAAAAGCTAATATTCTCTAATCAATTTTAGCTTTGTATTGCAATTGTCTTCATCAAATAGTGGGCATTCCGTGGTGAGTTAAAAACTGTCAATTAATAACAGTATCTGCCACAATACTAGTCCCCAATCTTTGTCTAGTAAGAAAATGAAATAATTCAGCGTGCATAACCCCTCTAACACACTCTAAATGTAAGTCTCATTGGTTGCATGGTCCAGTCAGTTTTGTCCATATTCAGAAAAGGGAAAAGCCTCATTCTTACGGAGTCTTGATTGTTCTTATTCCCCAGTCAATAAACACATTGCTTTCCAACCGTATAAGTACATATAGGAAAGAAAACTTTCATGTCCTGCAAATTGTAAGGCGGTTTCTGATTTTCTCTGAAATATACACCCACACATACATGCGTTTCTCTGAAATATACACCCACACATACATGCGTTTCTCTTAAATATACACCCACACATACATGCGTTTCTCTGAATATACACCCACACAAATTCAGCTCTGGTGGAATATTATTAAAAACAGAGTAAATTGGGAAAATTAAGGTAGATCGAACAACTGACAGAAGATGAATTAGAACGGAAAATCTCGCAACTAAAATAAGGAACTTAGCTGAGTGGAGAGCGACCACCAGATCAGAGGACCAGGAAGATGCAGAGCCAGTGGATGAAGTAGAAGCATCCGAGTTTCCGGAATCAATGGCAGCCTTCTTTGAGTCCCTAATCTCCTCAAACAAATACCTAAGTAAAGAGATCCGACGAACCAGATCGGTGTAGTCCTTCTTGAACATAGCATCGGCTTCAGAGGTAGTAGCAGAAGAGGATCCCCCAACTCCACCGCAAATTCCAACAATGTCATGAACTAGACCAATGAGCTCCGGAGTGCGATCTCTGGCGACGGTGCTGGCAGCTCCGGTGGCCATTGTCATGTTATCCCTCTCTCCTCTCTCGCTTTCGCTGTGTTTGCGTCTGAAGGCAAGAAGAGCTGAGTAAACCGTAGTCAGGGAAGAGAAACGGAAGCTGATGAATGCACTGAACGACTGAGATGGAGTGAGGAAATGGACGGTTAGGATTTTTAGTGTAAAACGACGTCGTGGAAGGTAGTGAACTGGAAGTGAACGGGAAGGAAGTGGAGAGAAACTGATCCCAGTTTTTAGGGGGTGTTTGGATAACATTTTGTGCAAACCATGGTTTGGGTTTCCAAACCATGGTTTGCAAGTGCATCCAAACGGTGCTTTAGTTTAAGGGTGTGTTTGGATGAAACCAAACCGTGGTTTGGAAAAGTGATTCTGGAGAATAGATTTTGGGAAGAATAGATTCTGGAAAGAATAAGGGACCGTTTGGATTGCATTGCAAACCTTGGTTTGGAAGCCCAAACCAAGGTTTGGCCAAAATGCCATCCAAACGGTCATGCAATTTAAACAAACCAAGGTTTTGGTAAAACCATGGTTTCAACCGGTGAAACCATGGTTTGGGTAGCAGCATATCTGATTTGCTTTTCGGATCCATTTGCTGAAAGGAACGGTGGGCCCCTCCACAAATGACCAAAAAAGGCTCCAATTATTGCTCTGAATGTGTTCAATAATTCCTCTCCTCTGGTTCACGCCTTCTCCCGTCGGTCCCCGCACCCAACACCATCCTTCACAGAACACCAGTCGACTCCACGGTCTTCCTCTCCTCCTTCACAGAACAAGTCGCCGCCGGTGAAGAAGTCGCCGTCTAGCCACGGTTTGAAGAAGTCGCCGCCGGTGAGAGAAATCGCAGCTCCATGGTTGAAGAAGATTGCAGCTATTTCTGGCGCTTAGGTTCGGTGTGAAGTATTTGGCTGTGGTCGGTCTTCCCTGGCTCAGATCCGTCGCTCAGGTAAGGTGGCTCAGATCCGGCGTTTTCTTCTTCTCCATAGCCTCTGTTTCTTCCTCTGTAATATTCGGCGTGTTGCGAGCTGGACCTTGTTCTGGTTGTGGGTCTTCTTCTGCCTTCAATGAAACCGAAACATAACAGGGTCTTCTAGTTCCCTTTGTCCCTCACCTGTTCGGCACCTCACCCACAAACTCCATCAATCTCTGTTAGCTCTTTCTCTCATGCTCCAGCTCTGCCTTTCGATAGTCCCTTTCGCTCAGCTTCGTCCGATTCGATTGATTGGATTGTTTTATACCTTCCGATTAAATTTTCAGATAATTGATGTTGGATGGTTTATTATATTTTCAGATAATTGATGTGTTGGATTGTTTTTTGGGTAAGGAATCGTGAAATGATATAGCCGTTTGTCGTTGATGCTTGCTGGAAAAATTCTGATTTGAACATTGATGTTGTTTAATCGGCCGTTTGTCGTTGATGCTTGCTGGAAAAATTCTGATTTGAACGTTGATGTTGTTTAATCGGCCGTTTGTCGTTGATGCTTACTGGAAAAATTCTGATTTGAACATTGATGCTGTTTAATCGGTCGTTTGTCGTTGATGCTTGCTGGAAACTTGCCATGAGAGTTTGACCCGTTGAATATCCGTTCGGAAAAATTCTGATCTGAATATGTTGTTTAGTAATCTTGCTTATTAATATTAGGTTGGTTTATGCGTGGCATAGGACAGAAATTATTCAGTTGGTTTGAGCCTGATATATGGTATTTTCGGTTGGTTTATAATGTCTGATTTTTTTTTGGTTATGAGATATGTTTATCTTATGCACAAATATACCAAATGCAAATCTTTGTGTTAAATGTTTGAATCATGGTAACAAAAATGTTCAACATTTATAATTTTTGTCGCATCACGGTTTGTCGCCTGACTGTAGTGAATTTTTTTTTTCAGTGCTGGCTTGAGGTGTTTGGTTGGTGCTGATTTTTCTTCATTGATAGTTGTGGCTGACGTTTTGCTTTCAGTGGTGGGTTAATTTTCATTCATAGATTCATTTGTGTAGCTTGGTTTATCTGATTTCGGTTTGCTTCCTTTGTTGAAACCGAAACATCGTGCTACTCTCAAGGATGGTCTTTGCTTTCGAGGCCAGAGGATCAGTTTTCGGTTCATATAGTTTGACTAGTTTTTTTAGAGATATATTTGTAATCCTTATGTTTTATTTTTTGTAATTCTGTTTTAAACAAAATTATAGGATGTTGTATTTGTGGTAATCAAATTTAATTTATTTAATTTTTTTTCTTGTCATTAAAGGAATGGGAACATAGTTTCATTTTATGTTGGATTAAAAAAATTAATTACATGTTATAAAAACATAGAATGAATTTCTTTTTGTTTGAAATAAAAATGAAGGAAAGAAAAATGTTAATATGGTATTCATAGTTGATTTGGGTAACAATGACACTTGTTATTTCAATTGATTTTGAGTTGATTAACCTGTGATGACTGAAGAGCTGTAATTGTGCTATAGCATTATGGGTAAGAATACGGTGAAAGCTTCCTGGGACCTACGAACCACGAAAGTGTTTATTAACCTATGCATTGAACTTGTGCAACAAGGGGAAAGAAAAGGTACTAGCTTAACAAAGAAAGCTTGGGATATTCTTGCTGATAAATTTACTGCCAAAACTGGAAGAGTGTATGAAAAAGCTCAATTTAAGAATAAATATGATTCCCTACGAAAGGAGTGGCAGACATGGGATAGGCTGCTTCGTGAGACGGGATTGGGATGGGATACAGAAAGGAATACTGTCAGTGCAACTGATGATTGGTGGGAGAGAAAAATAAGGGTAATTATTGAACCTTTTGATCTTACATTTTTCTCTACTTGTTAATGTTTTGTGTATATTTACTGTTTTTGGAATATTTTATAATATTATTGGTGTCTAATGTGCAGGAAGTTCCAAACTACGAAAAATTCAGAGAAAGAGGACTTCAATTTAGGGATCAATTGACTCAACTATTTGGGAGTGTAGCTGCAACTGGACCACAAGCATGGGCACTTTCTTCCATGACACTTCC